CTACTGGTCTCCGAGTTGCGATGTCACCACCCCGCCACCAAAAATCAGACTTGGCATTAAAGTGTGGTCCATTCCTTTACTGTTACCTTCCCCACTCCACCACCAAACCCAGGTAGGGCCCTGCTCCCTTCGCCCTTCCCCGAAAAAGGTGCTACCTCCTTCCCTGACAGTTGAGGGAGGACAGGACTTCAGGCTGGAGCCGCCATTAAGTTCTCCCTCCCCCACCCCTGGAGCCAGGGAGGGGAGGTGACAGATGGTGATGGATAGATGGACGGATGGACAGAGGGCCGAGGAGGTGGGAGCAGGAAGGGGACAGGAAAGGCTACTCCCAGCAGCTCCTTTCCCCCCAGCCTTGCTTCTGGGGGTAGGAGAGGGCTGTCTGGCCATCAGGGTGGTGCCCAAGGGGCCACAGCCCTTGGTGGGTCACCCAATAAACATTGTGGACTCTCAGCATGGCTGGGGCCTGGTGTTTCAAGGCAGCCGTGGCCACACTTCTTGGTCCTCTTGGCCTTGGTTCCCCTCACCACGTCAATGGCAGCAGGGGGTGGGGCTGGGAGAGGGAAGCAGGCCCAGCGCCAGAGCCTCACAGGCTGTACCAGGAGAGAAGCCAGCCTGGAGTGGGGGCCGCCAGTTCCCGGGGGTGGCTGACCCACACATCATAGATGCTCTTGTTGGGTGGCACCCCCTGGAAGAGGGCATCCAGGTCCCACAGCAGCCCTGGGGGGCCATGCGTTTCAGGGCCCACTCCCCAGTAGGCTGGGCTGGTGGAGGGTGGGCACTGGGGGCAGGAGGTAGGTGGTAGTGGGGCCAAGGGCATTACCACGTTGGGGGTGTAGATGGGCAAGTAGGAGGTGGGTAGCTGCCCCCACAGTGAGGCCCCGTGGCCCCCACCAGACAGTCCCCCAGGGTCGGGGGTACCCTGCAGTAAGTGGAGAGGCCAGGCTCTGGGCTCGGGGGAGAGGGGCGAGGGCCGGCTTGTTCCCCCGTGGGAAGCCTCCCCTTCCACCCTCATGGTCCCGGGGAGGGCGCAGAGGGGCCACGGAGGCCTCTCAGAGGGCAGGGGCGGCGTGGGCACCACTTCCCGCTTACTTGGAAGGGAACCTGCCGGACCTGGGCTGCTCCGTGGCACTCCCTTCCCGGGGTCCCCCAGCAGAGACTTTATGCTGAAGCCCTCACTGGGTGGCGGCTGGGGAGTGGGCGGACTGGACAGCTTGGGCGGTCGGTAGGGCCGGCCGTGAAGCACGTAGGGGCCCAGGTCCTTGGCGAAGGCGCCCCGAGCGCCCCTGCTCTGCCAGCGCCGGCACAGGGCCGTGTTCTGCAGCCGCAGCGCTTCGGCCGGGATCAGGCTCACGTCGACAGCCCAGAAGTTGCCCTTGGCCTTGGGTTTCGCAGGATCCTTGGGCACCTGGTGTGTATGGAGGTGGCAGGCTTGGTGGGGCTACCCGACCCCAGATACTCAGGATTTCTGCCCCCACCCTGCCTCCGCCCCGGCTCGCGCTCGGACCCTCGCCCTGCCCCACCTTGCGGAAGCATCGGTTGGAGGAGAGGTTGTGGCGGATGGAGTCCTTCCAGCCTTCGTAGTCGTCCCTGAAGAAGGGGAACACGGCCTGAACCTGACGGATGATCTGAAACCACCAGAGCGGTTTCAGCAAGCACTGTAAGCCAGGGAGCGGACGGGGGAGCGCCGCCCCTCCCCCACAGCCGGGCGTAGGGGCGCCGGTGCGCGGTCCCCAACACCTGCGCGCCGCAGGGAGGAGAGGGCACCTCATGGGAAGGGTTCTTCGGAGCACCTCAGCTCTCTTCCTCAGGGCCCGGACCGGGACTAGCCCCGCTGGCATAGCTGGGTAGGGCCAGGTGGGCTTGGAGGCCGGAGCCTTAGCCTGGGAGTAGGTGCAGGGTCGGATCTGGGAAAAAGTGGGACCACGGCATGGGAGGGAGAGCAGGAACCCTCTCACCTGGGCCAGCTTCAGCCTGCGGGAAGGTGCGGCCTGGATCACCAGGGCGATCATGGCCAAGTAGGTGTAGGGGGGCTTGTCATGCCGCAGGTATCTCTTCTTCCTCCTCTTAGGGGGCTGGGGGGGCGACTCTACCCCGGGGAGCCCCAGGCGTGGGTTGCTGCAGGGTCCCATGAACAGGAGGTCAGCAGCGTGGGCAGGGGCCTGGCCGGTAGGAGGTCGCAGGGCAATGGGGCAGGTAGTGAGGCAGGGCCAGGGCCTGAGGCCGGGCGGGGGCAGGCAGGCCGGGCCCTTTATCATTCGGATGGAAGGGGGAGGGGAGGGGAGGCAAAGGGAGGGTGGAATAGGCAGTGGGGGAGGGGAGCAGGCAGAGGGCTGCCACAATTAGCAAGTTTCAGTTAATCTGGAAGGGAGGGGCAGCGAAGATTCCAGTGGGGGTTGCCTGCGGCCACCCAGGCCTCGCTTCTCAGTCCTGGACTGCCTTTGGCAAAGTCTGCGAGCTGGAAGGAAAAGCCCCTGGAAGGGGCCCATGACTCATGGATACTTATCAGTCTGTCTGGGCTGGGTCTCAGGCTCCCATTTAACAGATGGGGAAGTGATTTGCCCTGTCCCAGCTGCCAAGAAGGGGTCAGCCAGCCCAGAGTTCAAGGCCAGTCCGCTGGAAGGACCTGAGTGGTGGTCCGGTGGGTCTTCGTGGAGGAAACCTCAGGAAAAAAGGGGGACACAGTTGATTCAAGGGATTTTTCTCAGGGGCTGCTGCAGGACCTCAGTGGGGCCCTCGAACCCTGGAGACCACGTTCCTCCCCCTCGATTCCTGTTAGCCACCGGCCTTGAGAGCCGGCTGCCCTCGTTATTTAATTGGGCGTCTCCCTGGCCCTGAGCGAGCGAGGTCTGCTAGGCCACGGAGGACTCCTTGGAGCCAGGTTTGCCTTGCTTCTCTTCTCATCCTTTGGGCTCAGGTGCTCTGGGGTTGCCGCTGGGGAGGATGCCTCTCATTCCTTGGGGGCACTTGGGCAGTGCTCTTGGCTGCTGTGCTTGGAGGGAGAAGTCTCCTAGGTGTAGGGGTTTACCAGCCACTTGGCAGGACAGACCTTGGGTCACAGTCCCTGTCCAGGAGAGTCTTCGAGGACCGCCTGGCTTCACCCTGGGTGAGAGTGAACACAGGGATGTGGTGTGTGGGGGCCCAGGAAGGGCTTCCCAAGCAGCCACAAGGCCCTGCGGCTCAGTCTGGAGCAGTGATTTTCTCCCTTTTTCATGTCGTGGCACACTTAAACTAATTACTAAAATTCTGCGGCACACCAAAACATGTATTTAGTCAGAGGTTGGTGCCCCGACTGAGTGGTCAGATATTACATGCTTTAAAAATTTTCGAACACACTGGTTGAAAATTGACGGTCTAGAAGTGGGGAGATGCTCTCCAGGCTGCTGGGGGCTGGCCTGAGCAGATGAGGTGTTGCCCTAGGAGACGCAGTGGAGGCTCAGGCTGGGGAAGCCCACTACAGCCCCCACAAGGGTCTGCCCCCCCCCCCCCGTGAGGGCTTTGCAGGGACAGGACCTGACCCAAAGGTGTGGGCCTAGCAAAATGCCCCCGGCAGCTACCCAGAGACTCACCAGTCCTCCTAATTCTGAGACCCTCTCCGGCCCCCTCACCGTGTCTTCCTTGGCTCTCTGAGCTGTTGCTCTGCCTCTCAGTCAGTCACGGCCTGTGTTCTCCCTCAAAGCCCAGGTTTGCCCACCCACACACACACCAGGCAAGTTTGTCCCAGGGGACATCACAGGCAGTGGTGGCTGGTGTTGGTTCCAGGGCCCCCAAGCCCCAGGGAGGCCACAGGAGCTGAGACAAACTTCATATTTGTTTACTCCGAGAACTCAGCTTTTCTTGTGTAGTCCCTGCCATGATTTCCTTGAACTGTTGAGGATCCGCGGCGTGCAGTGGTGCCCGGCTCATGGTAAGGAACCAAGGGAAGGGCTGAGCGGTGGGTGCACTAGAGGAGGAAGCCTGGGCTGAGAGGGAGGGTGCGTGTGGGCACCACACTGCTCCCACTCCCTCAGGCTCTCCCTTCTTGCCTCATCCGGCTCCCTCTGAACTCCCACTTTCCCAGCTACTTCCTGTGTCTAGGGGTCTAGTTGAGGGTCTCTTGTGTCTCACCAGTCTCAGTACCTATGGCCTCCTAGCCTCACTCCAATCGCAAATAAGTCTTTTTCTTGTCCACGTCTTTTTTAAAAAAGATTTTATTTACTTATTTATTAGTTAGAGAGAAAGAGAGGGAGGGAGAAAGGGGGAGAGAAACATTAATGTGTGAGTGAAACATCAATTGGTAGCCTCTTGCCTGCCCCCAGCCGGGAGACTGGCCCACAGCCCAGGCATGTGTCCCGACCAGGAATGGAACCGGGCCCTTTTGGTTTGGAGGACACGCCCCACTCACTGAGCCTCACCAGACAGGGCTCCTCCCGGTTTTAAGTCACCCGCTCTCCTCCAAAGGTCCTCCCTTGCTTCCGGCTTTTGTCCTGACCACACCCCCCTCCTAAACCGTCATCCCACTGCTTCCCTTGGCCCTAGTGCACCGGGTCCTTGCGCGTCGCACAAGGTGTCCCCTCCGTGCGGGAAGTCTCTGCTTTGCCAGCTGAACCTCTACCTTTCTTTAGAAGCCCAGCCTACCCCTGGCCCGGTAGCCCAGTTGGTTAGAGCGTCGTTCCCATGGGTTGCAGGTTGGATTCCCCCCTAGGTTGATCCCGGTCCGGGCACAGACAACCTATGAATGCCCAAGTGTGTGGAGCAACAAATTGATGTTTTTTATCCCCTAAAACCAATAAATAAAAATAAAAGTCCCAGCCTAAACAGATGACCACCCTCCTGGGAGCCTTTTGACTACTTGCCCTCCCGCCCACCCCAGCACGTCCACTCCGAGGACGCCCCTGCCATCGAGACTCCCGCGGCTGCGCTCCACAGAGCGTCTACCACGCGCTCCTGGCAGGCTCCGCCCCCGGCTCCCACGCCGCACCGCCGCTTCCGGCTGTGGGCGCCGCCAGCCGGAAGTGTAGCGTTGCCATGGCGAGGGTGCGGCGCCGGGCCCGCCCCTGCGGCGCCTGGGGAAGCGCGGGGCTGACTGACCGGTGGACCGGATCCGGTCCACTGCACGAGGGGAAAGGTAAGAGTCGGACTTCCGGAGCCTGCGGCGGGACCGGAGGCCGGGCTCCCGGGAGAGAGGAGATCGGGCCCCGGGAGAAAGGAGACTGGGTGCCCCGGGAGAGAGAAGGCCGGGCCCCGAGGGAGAGAGGAGATCCGGCCCCGGGGGAGAGGAGATCGGACCCCGGGCAGAGAGGAGATCGGGGCCCGGGGAGAGGGGAGGCCGGGCCCCGAGAGAGAGAGGAGATCCCGCCCCAGGGGAGAGGATCGGGCCCCGGGCAGAGAGGAGATCGGGCCCCGGGAGAGGGGAGGCCTGAGGGCAGGCTGAACCGAGCTGAGAGAGGAAAAGAGGAGGACCAAGTGGAGAGGGGGAGGAGGCAGGCAGAAGGGTCTCCACGCCCGACCGAGGCACTGGCACCTCAGGCTCCAGGGGGGCGTGGGCCCCTTGCTTTCCTGGAGCAGAGGCCGAGGGGACCGTGAGATTAGTTTCCATGGCTGCAGAGAGGGCGGTGTGCGTGGGGGGAAGCCAGAGAAAGGCTGGCCCTCCCCGAAGCGCTGCCTGCCATTTCTCCCTGGACCCTCACCTGGGGCGGGGGCGGGGGGCACCGCACTGCTCTCAGTCTCTGTCTTTGGGCCCCAGGGGCTCCCCTGGCCGGCTGGGGGTTTCACCGACACACGTCGGTGTCCAGCTCGGCCATGTAGCCCACCGCACTGGCTTCCCGCATGGGTAGGCCCCTCTCGCCGAGTGGGGTGCCCCGTCGTGTAGGTGGACGGCCGGGTAGCCTGCCACACACCTGCGCCCACGCCCGCCTTTGGCTGTCGGGAATAACGCTGCTCTGGGCGTTCACAGACGCAATTCTTCGTGGGACATGGGCGTTCTCTCTCTAGGTCTGAGAGGACGGAAAGGGTGGATGGAAGTGTGTGGTTAACTTTGTTAGAAAGTGGCGGACTGTTTTCCAGAATGACTGCGCATGCACCTCACCTTCCCTGTAGTTCCAGCCTCAGTGCCGTCAGCCTGTTCGCGTGCAGCCATTTCTGCGCCATGGCCCTCGCGTGCGCTTCCTCCCGATGAATGGTGCTGAGCGTTTTTCCACGGACGTACTTTCTGTGCTCTTTTAGTTCACGTGCTTACTTTCATGGCCATTTGTATATCTTTTGTGAAGGGTCTGTTCAAGTCTTCTGCCCTTAAAAAACTTGGTTTTGCCTCACCAAGTTTTAAGCATTCTTTGTACCCTTAGGGTGCCAGTCCTCTGCCAGGCTTGCGCTGCCAGTGCGTGTCGCTGCCTGTGTGTCCGGAGCAGGGGGCGCTCTTCATTTTGACAAAGCCCGGCTTGGCGGTCTTTCCTGGGCGGTGTTCACTTTCTCTCCTGCTGTGAGGAGGAGCCGAGGGTCCTCGTTTCCCATGTGGACGCCCAGGCATCCCGGCACCACTCTTTGAAGACCGTCCTGTCTCAGGTGTATTGCCCAGCACCTTTGCCGAAAATCAGGGGACACTCACCAGCGGGCCTATTTCTGGATTCTGTCTCACTCATTCACCTTGTGCTGCGATCCATAGATTTGGTGGTTGTAGCCTCGAAGCCTTGAGATCAAGGACTGTGAGTTCTCCAGCTCGGTTTCTCTTTCTCATGTCGTTTTGGCTCTTCAAGATATTATGCAGTTCTTCATACGTTTAGAATTAGCTTGTGAGTTTCTACAAAAAGGCTTACTGGAATTTTGAATGGGATCGTATTAATTCTGGAGAGTTGACTTAACAATATAGAACATGGTATTTATGTATCTGTATCTATCTTCCTTTATGTAGGTCTCTGCACTGTCTGTCGCCGAGTAGTAAATAACTCTAAAACAGAATGGCTGAAACAATAAACATGTTATCTCCCTGTTGCTGTGGGTGAGGAATTCAAAAACGGCTTAGCTGGGCGGTTCTGGCTCCAGCTCTCCTGCGGTTGCAGTTAGGGTCCTCAGCCAGCGCTGCATCGTCTGGCGGCTGCACTGCCAGCTGGGGAGCTGCCCACAGAGTGGCTCCGTCACGTGGCTGGTGGCCGGGGGCACCTGCCTCACGGGTGGGGGTGGCGTGGACTGCTCAGTGTTACAGCCCCTCCGGGAGAGGTGGAGACGCTGCTGCACTGTTTGGTGATGTAGCCCCTGAAGTTGGGCGTCGCCATTTCTACTTTGTTGTTGTGAGAAGTGAGTACTCCAGGGGAAGAGGTATCAAAGTATTTCAGGCTTCGTGATACTAAGTTTATAAATGACACTTAACACTTCGCATTTTCCAAGCACAGAGGCATACAGTTGAATTTAACATACTGTCCTTTTGTCCTACAACCTTGCTGTTCATTTTAGTAGCCCTCTCCTAGATTCCTGCGGTATTTCTGCATGTCTGCTACATGCCTTCCGCATCTAAAGAGTTTTGCATCTTCTCTCCAATCTGCGGGCTTTTCGTGTCTTGCCTGAGTGCACTGCCTGGGGCCTCTGGCACAGTGTTGCCAGCCTCCCTGGAGGACCCTCCCTTGCCCTGGGCTGGGCCCTACCCAGGGTTAGTGATCCGTCCAGACTCCCGGGGCTGGGGTCTGGGGGTGGTGCGTTCTAATGTGGAGCAGGTGAGGGTATGTGACAGCCAATCCCCATTCTGCTGCCGGAACGATACAGGTGGCTCCCCGTGGCCAGCCAGGCCAGGTGCTTGGAAGGCCACTCCTGCCCTCTGCCTTTGGGCGTGCGCTCCCGCTGCTGTGACCCAGTGCAGCTGGGAGCCTCAGGGAGCTGGACGTCTACCGTCTGAACTAAAGCTGGCACTTCAGTTTCCGGCCCAGGCCCCAGCTGGCCGGCTGTCCTGGGAACGTCTGTTACAGCGATGGCCTAGAACAGGTTCAGCGTGGGAACCCAGCGCGTTTCCGTCTCCGCTGGGGGCACTGGGGGCAGTGCCGGGAGCAGGACGTGAGTCCTGCGTCTGCCGGTCACGTGCTCCCACTCCCCTGAGCGGTCTGCGCAGGGGGGCGTGTCCGGTGGGTGTCGGGTTTCCAGTGCGTCTCCCTGATGACTAAGTGCCTGGGCACCTTCCTGCGTTTGCTGGCGTGAAGTGGCTGTTGAAGCCTTTGGCCTATTTTCCTGTTGGGTGCAGGGCTTTTATTTGTTGCTGTTTTGTTTTTTTATCCTCACCTGATACGTTTAGTGACTTCAGAGAGGGGAGGGAGAGAGAATCATCAACGTGAAAGAAACATCAGTGGGTTGCCTCCTGTAATCGCCCCAACTGGGGATCAAACCCACAGCCCTTTGGTGTACGGGATGCGGGCTTTTTTTTTTTTTAAGATTTTATTTATTTACTTTTTAGAGACAGGGGAAGGGAGGGAGAAAGAGGGAAACATCAACGTGTGGTTGCCTCTCATGTGGCCCCCCTATCCTAACCCTAACCCCAGGCCTGTGCCCTGACTGGGAATTGAACCTGCGACCCTTTGGTTCAGAGGCCGGCACTCGGTCCACTGAACCACACCGGCCAGGTCTGCCTTTTAGTAGTTCTTTTTATATCAGTTGTTGGTTATGTATTGCCAGTATCATTTCCTATTCTGTGGCTTGCTTTTTCACTCATTCACTCGTTTTATTTTTAAATTCTCTTGGGATTGTTGTGGATGCACACACAGTTGTAAGAAACAGTTCAGAGAGACCCCTCCTCACTTTCAAGTCCCCCAAAGGCACGTAACCGCGCTCAGAGCCTCACCTGAGACACCGACCCGCGGGTCGCCAGCTGCACACGCGCCGACGTGCGCGCTCACGTCTGTGCAGCCTCATCACAGCCACGTGGTCCTGCGCTGTGCCGCCGCGCTGTGGGGCCGCCTTTCCCCAGCCCCACCCCCACCCCAGGTCTGGCCATTCGGGGGGTCCATTGACTGCACCCAGCAGATGTGGCTGTTGGCGGTGAGCCAGCGCCCTCGGGACGCCCGAGCTGTGCGCACTCGGCGCGGGTGTTCCCACGAGAGGCAGCTGTCTCCCGCCGGAGGCTCCGATGACTCGAGTCGCCGTGAAATCCACACACAGGTTTTTGTGTGAACTAAAGATTTTCATTTCTCTGGCATAAGTGCCCCGAAGCACAGCTGCTTGGTCTTGTGGTTTAGTTTTTTAAAAGAAACTGCCACTGTTTTCCCAGTGGCTGCACCGCCAGCACCATGGGGGACCCCTCGCTTCACTCCGGCGGGCTGAGGCTGTGGGTGGGCTCGCTGTGGCCGTCACTCGTGTCTCCCTGCGGGTGAAGCCGGCCAGCGCCTTCTCACCCTGGGACCTTGTCAGTGAAGCGCCTGCACGCGTCACGTGCCCATTGTCTGATTGGAGTGGTTTTATTTTTTGCTGAGTTTGGGGAGTTCTTTGTGCTCGCTGGACAGAAGCCCTTTGTTGGGACTGTGGTTTGCAAATATGTTCTCAGGTCAAGAGCTTGTCTTTCTGGCCTCTTCACGGGGTATTTACCCGAGCAGAAGTTTTAAATTTTGGTGCATCCAGTGTGTCCTGTGCCCTCGGCTTGCTTCTGGTGTTGCCGCTGCAGACGCTGTGTGGCTGTACCCTTTGCACCTGATGGACAGGGTTGCGCCCGCTGCTGAGTGCAGAGCTGGGCTCTCGCGTCGTCAGTGGAAAGACTCCCGGTCTAGCGGCCTGGGCCGGGCTGCCCGCCCGCCCGGCTGTCAGTCTGCTCTTGCAGGCCCCGCCTCTCCATGGGCCTGTCAGTGCCTCAGCGTCTTCCTCACCAAACTTCACAGTAAATCTGGATGCCCAGACGTGTAAGGACTTGCCGCCTGGTTGTGTTTAGGATTGTCCCTGCTGTCCTTGACCTTTCGCATTTCATGTAAAGTGGAGAATTAACTTGGAGAGAGAACTGAGTTGGAGAATGAGAGTCTCTGATACAACTGCAGGATTTGCATTGCGATGCGTGGAGTGTGAGCTCAGTTTGGGGGAAATGACGGGTCCGGGTGGTGGGCGCACTGGGCGCTCATGTCTGCCTGGACTCAGAGTGGGGCTGCGGCAGCGAGGGCCGGGGAGTTTCTC